TGTTATGATCCAATTAAGAACTCAGCAATCTAAACTCTAGAGGTAGAGGCCCATTGACTGCAGACTCTAGTGGTTACAAAGAAAATGGTGGCATCTGCTTTGCCTTTCCTTTAATCTGGTTTGTATTCCTTGGCTGGCTGTTGGATGTTTTCTCAGGACAGATAAGCTAGAGATGGACGTGATGGTGTGGGAATGGCACCTCTTGGCTATTACTGATCCTGCACATCTGTTTTGCATTCACCTAAACTCTTAGATTTGGAATGTGTCCTAGAGTAGCTTAAGGACGCCAGCAGTCCTTGCCTGTGACCAGGGCTCTGTTTCCTCCTTGGAGTGTTTAACTCCTGTTTTTAGAAGTTGGGCCCTGCCCCTTTTTGGTGCATCTGCACTAATATTACTACATTAGAAGTGGGAGCTCATTTTCAATCCTTGCGTTGTTAGAAGCACTAAGAACTAGCACATTTTTGTGGTTTATAATTACTTAATGAATTCAGAGTTAACTTTTGCTGTCCTTAAGTCATAGGTTTAAAGATTGAAAATTAGATTCACCTCGAGAATTTAAATACATTTACGTGTCTGGGCCTGTTTCCTGGAGATTAGAGGTAATGTACACATTTCGGGTAGGGCCTCAGCAAATCTGTTGCAAAAAATTTTTCAGGTGATTATGATGTACTTGCCTGATTAAAAACCACTCCTTTAAAAATAATGTCTTTAGTATATAAATAACATACATTTGGTAATCATTCTCTTCTTGGCTCTCAAGGTGAGTCAGTCACAAACAGAATTTTAAGAAATTACTTATACATCGTGAACATGAGTCTGTAACAGTAAATATTCTCCTACATGAGAATGGCTGCATAAAACTGTATTTTCTGGATCTGTAGATGCGTATTTTTCATGTTACTGAAATTGAGTTGTGACTTATAAACAGTTTGTATATTTAAAGTGGTATTGTCTTCCCACCCAAGACTATTACTAAAATAGTAATGATGTATCTTAAAATCAGTGTTATCTTTGAATTAAGGAACTATAGTATTTCATCATATGAGTGTACCATAAATTATTGATGGATGTTCAGGTTATTTCCAGTTTTTCATATTTGATGCTGAGATGGTTGGTTTTTTTTCTTTAGGGTAGGTTTCTAGAAGTGAAACTACTTGGTTAAAATGTATATAAATTTTAAGGCTTTTGGTAATACTAAATTCTTAAAACTTTTTTTGTATCTACTCCTTTGGCTTTTCATATATATTTCTTCTCTGTCTTACCTTTGCTAACTCTGATTCTAATAAAATGATGAGTTTACATTCAGGGTAGGAGTCATTCTCTGCCTTTGGTGATCACTGTATGTCACTGTTCCTTTGTCGTGACGAGTTACCGTCTTTGGAGAAGCCCCTAGAGCACGTATTTCCCTCGAGGATGGAGACGTTTGGTCATAATGTAGAAATCTCTCTTGTGCTTAAAAATTTGCACTTTGCACAGCTAACATACTCTTAATGGTAAAAGACTGCATACTTTCCCCCTGAGATCAGGAATAAGACAAGGATGTCTGCTCCCTCTGCTTCCATTAGATGTTATATTGAAGATGAAGTGAATAGGGCAGTTAGGCAAGAAAAAGGAATAAAAGACATCTAGATGGAAAGGAAGAAGAAAAGCTAGCTATCTCAGTTTGCAGATGATGTGATATAGGAAAATCTAAGGAGTCCACACACAAAAATATTGGGACTAATAAATGAGTTAGTAAGGTTGTAGGGTGCAAGATAAGTATACAAAAGTCATTTGTATTTTTATACACCAGCAGTGACCATCTGAAGGTGAAATTGGGGTAACAATTTCCTTTGTAATAGCATCAAAAAGAAACAAAAAATAGGAATATATTTAGCTCAAGTGCAAGATTGTGTACTGAAAACTATAAAACATTTTTGAAAAAAAGAAGAGCTAAATAGAAAGTCATCCCATCTTCAAGAATCGAAAGACTTAATGTTATAATGGTGCTGCTCTCCAGACTGATCTACAGACTCGCCGCAATCCCTGTCAATTCCAGCTGACTGTTTTGCAGAAATTGACCTGATCCTAAGATTCGTATGAAAGCGCAAGGATCCCAGAGTAGCCAATACAGCCTAGGAAAGTAGATCAAAGTTGGAGAACTTATACTTTCTCATTTCAAAACTTATTACAAAGCCATAGTAATCAAGACATTGTGGTATTGGCAGAAGGATAGAAATATAGATCAAGGGATACAATGGAGAGTCCAGAAATAAATCTTTACATTTATTGATACAAATTGATTTCCAGCAAGGGTACCAAGACAGTTCAGTGGAGAAGTGTTTTTTCAACGAATGATGCTGAGACAAGTGGATAGCCACATGTAAAAGAGTGAAGGTGGACCCGCACTTAAGACCATATACAAAAAGTAACTCAAAATGAAACTTAGACCTAAATGAAGGAGCTAGACTCCTGGAGGAAAATGTAGAGGTAAGTATTTGTGATCTTGGACACTAAAAGCCTAAGTGACAAACGAAAGTTTAAGTAAATGGGACTTGATCAAAATTAAAAACTTCTGTGCATCAGAGGACACCATCAAGAAAGTAAAATAAGCTAGAATAGGAGAAAATATTTGTAAAGTTATATTTGTAATTCACACGTCTGACTAGGTATTTGTATCCAGAATAATATAATGAACTCTTACAACTTAACAATTAAAAGACACATAACCTAGTTAAAAAGTGGGTATAGGATCTGATACACATTTCTTCACTAAGATATGCAAATCGCCAGTAAGCATATGTAAAGTGATGTGACCACTTTGGAAAACAGTTTGACAGTTTGTCAAAATGCTAGACCTAGAGTTACCGTATCACCCAGGATAGGCACATCCATAGAGACAAAGTAGATTAGTGGTTGCTAGGGCCTGGCAGCAGGAGAGGATGGAAGTTGACTGCTGTTGGGTATGGGATTTCTTTTTAGGGTGATGAAAATGTTCTAAAATTAGGTGGTGGTGATAGTGGCACGACACTGTGAATATACTAAGAAAATGAATTTTATACTTTAAGAGGGTTAATTTTATAGCATGTGAATTATATCTCAACAGAACTGTTACTTAAAAAAAGTGTGCTGAAGGACCTAGGTGAGGATCAAATTCTGCCCTCAGCAGTTGTATTCTTTGGGGGCTATTGCAGATAGGTGGCACATGCTATGCCTGCCTTCCTCTTTGCAAATGGCACACGCCGTCAGCTGATTCTTGTCAGTGATTCCAAGAGTGGCTTTAGAATATCTCTCAAAATAGTACTTTTCATGACCACTGGAAGTATATTGGCAAAGACCAGATGGGATACATCCTGGTGTTTCTGGAGACTACTGATAATTCCCTGGTGTTGGAGGACAAAGCATCATTGGGTGCTGAGGCTAGAGAGCTATCCTTTCTTAAGGTTATACTTTAGTGAAAAGAGTGTCAACAACGAGGAACTATCAAAGACTTTGGGCAGTGAATTGTTGGGGCCCACCTCTGGAGGAGGGTTTTGCCACGTATTTCTCAAATTTGTACTGTAGAAGACACTTTGGTAACTGTGTGGAAGGATGATTTGGAGGGGGATGAGGCTGGAGGCCAGAGACTGATGCTGTAGTGGTGCTATGGGTGAGAACGGAGGAGGGCCTGAGCCAGGCTCTTGTGTCAGCCGTGAGACTGGTCTGGGCCCGAGACGTGTTTAGGAAGCACAATCAGCAGTTGGTGATCAGCAATGAAATTGAGGTAAGAAGAAGAGTCATGACATTATTTATCGGTGATGGCTGTACCATGAAAATCAAGACTATGATGGCTAATGGGTGAATGGAGCACTGGGCCATGGGGACTGAGGCTTGAGCCCTGCACCAGCCGTCAGTGGTGACTGCATAAAGAGGAGTACATTTCAATAGAGAGAAGAAATGTTTTCTCTAGTGGCCCACTTAATTTAGCCTATTAGTCATACAGGAAAAAAAAGACTAGAATAAAAGATTATTGTCCTTTCAGTAGAAATTCATCCAGTGTTGTATTATTTACATGGTAGACTGGGGCATGTTTATCAATAATATGAAGCCTACTGAAGAGGTCTTTATTTCAATATAGGGAGATTGATTTGAAGAATATTCCTGTAATATGTGTCAAAATACGGATGTAGCTTTAAAAAAGATGGACGTTATCCACATGTTAGTAGTGTAACAGAATTCACCATAGATTCCAAGTACATAAAAGTTCGGTTTAGATAGCATCAAATTAACCTATTCAGGTTTTTACTTAAAAAATGAGAGGGTAAAAAGCACTATGACTGTATGACTGTATCTGTGCTCTTAAGTACAGTTGCATGGTATTGCACTATGTGAGAAAACTGATCAATATTAAATGCCATATATGGTTGTCTTGTATTCCTAAATGGTTTTATTCTTTTAGAAAGATGTAAGTGTAGAAATTATATGTCAGTCTTGGTTAATTTGATATTTGAATGCCTGAGTGTTGTAAATATAATTCATGGGTTTATTGAACATTATTTTCTTTTTCTTTGGATTACTAAGTATTTTCTGAAGTTTAGCTTGCAGAAAATATCATGATGTGAATTCAAAAATTTTCTTCCATATAGTAAGAATTTTAAATCTTTTACTACGTATCATTCTCCTTTTGTAATGTTTCATTGTTACTTTTTTTTTTTGAGGAAGGTTAGCCCTGAGCTAACTGCTGCCAGTCCTCCTCTTTTTGCTGAGGAAGACTGGCCCAGATGTCTTGCCAAGTGGTGCCATGTTCGCACCCGGGATCTGAACCGGTGAACCCTGGGCCGCCGAATCGGAACGTGCACACTTAACCGCTGTGCCACCAGGCCGGCGCCCATTGTTACTTTTTGTCTGTTTTCTTTGTTTTCATTTATTTTGTGTTTTAGAAGTAGTATAAATTGGGGGGGGACAATAAAACTAGTAAAAGAATTTTGCTTTATTTTTTGTAAAAGTCCAGTTTTCTCAAGTCCCTTATTTCTGTTTCATAGGGGTTTGTCCTGGCTGTCACTATCGTGAGGGAAGCAGTTGATGAGTTTCGGCGTTTTCAGCGAGACAAGGAAGTGAATTCACAGCTGTACAGCAAGCTTACAGTGAGAGGTTAGCAAGATACTTGGAATCCAATTTATTGCTTGTTTAATGTAGTTAGCATTTTAGAATTAACATAAATGAAAGAAAGCGTCTTAATTCTGTTATTGAAAATAGTATTATGCAATGGCATTTGGTATATAATTAATTTTCTTTTAATAATGTAATGCATACAATTTCAGGGTAGATTTTTATTCTCTAGATGCTTGGATGTATGTGCATGTGTTTATATAAATAGACACACACAACGCATGTACACATACATGTGTATATATATGAATAATTATGTAATGTGCTCCGCTGCAGTCTGTGTATAATCCCTGTGTGCTCGGATACACGTGAAGCCGGACTGGTGTATACACATTTTCTGTGAAGCCTGATAGCACCTTATCTAAAGTATCTCTTTGCATTATATTTTAAACACAATCATAGAGGTGAGACATCTTGTACCGGGGCCTTAAACTATACTTAGATGAAAGGACTTTGAGCACCTAAAATAAATATGATCCTAACTAGTAACTGATATATGCCTATTTCTCCTTGACCTTCATTAAGGGATTTGACCCTTGCTTAATTGATGCTTTTAAAGAGCTTGTTTACTTGGTTTTTCAGTCCATAGTAGAAAAGAAGCAACGTCTTGGGAAGAGAATGGGTGAAGCTTTTACATTTAAATAGGCATGGTGACAGTAGAAAAGTGACAATGAAACCTTGTCAGTGAGGGAAGACATTGAAAAACTAAATGGATATTCATAATAACCTCAAAGTCTGCTTAAAAATGAAGACGTTTAGAGTGGATTTTTTATCTTCTGTTTATACATGGACATTTGTACAATGAATTACGTATTTGAAACACTCCTGTCCAAAATAATTTTTTTAATAACTTATTCAGATATATTTCACATAACATAAAATTCATGCATTTAATTATATAGTTCAGTGGTTCTTGGTATATTCGCAGAGTTATAAAACCATCAGCACCATCTAGTTTTGGAGCATTTTTAACATTCTGAAAAGAAACCGACTATACTAGCACTTCTTCCCTGTTCTTGCCCCTTTCCTGTCCTGCTCCAGGCCTGGACAGCTGCCGGTCTACTTTCTGTCTCTATGGACGTGCCTCTCCTGAACACTTCGTATAAATAAAATCATGTAATATGTGGCTTCTTTGACTTGGCATAATGTTTGCAAGGTTCATCCATGTCGTTGTGTCTATCAGTACTTTATTTCTTTTTATTGCCAAATAATATTCCACTTTTGATAGAACACATTTTGTTTACCCATTCATCAGTAGATAGACATATGGGTTGTTTCCACTTTTAGGTTATTGTCAATAATGCTCCTGTGAGCATATGTACAAGTTTTTGTGTAAACATTGTTTTTATTTCTTTTGTTTGTATACCTAGGAGTGAAATTGCTGGATTATATGGGAACTCTGTTTTGGAGGAACTGCCAGACTGTTTTCCTGATTGGCTGCACCATTTTACATTCTCACCAGCAATTTATGAGGGTTCTGATTTCTCCCCTTCTTCACCAACACTTGTTATTGTCTGTCTTTTTGATTGTAGCCACCCTAGTGTGTGTGAAATAGTATCTCACTGTGGTTTTGATTTGTATTTCCCTAATGACTAAAGATGTTGAACATCTTTTCATGTGCTTTTTGGCCATTTGTCTGTCTTCTTTGGAGAAATGTTTATTCAGATTGCCCGCTTTTTAACTGGGTTGTTTGTCTTTTAACTGTTGAGTTGTAAGAGTTCTTTCTTTATTCTGGATTTAAGTCTGTTGTTAGATATGTAATTTGGAAATATTTTCTCTCATTCTGTGGGTTGTATTTTCTTTTTCTTGCTGGTGTCCTCTGATACACAAGTTTTTTTTTTTTTTTGGTTTTTTTCTTTTATAAAGATTGGCACCTGAGCTAACAACTGTTGCCCATCTTTTTTTTTTTTTTCTGCTTTTTCTCCCCAAATTCCCCCAGTACATAGTTGTATATTTTGGTTGTGGGTCCTCCTAGTTGTAGCACGTGGGACACCACCTCAGTGTGGCATGACGAGTGGTGCCATGTCCCGCGCCCAGGATCTGAACCAGCAAAACCCTGGGCCGCCGAAGCGGAACGTGTGAACTTAACCACTTGGCCATGGGCCGGCCCCCACAAAAGTTTTTAGTTTTGGTTAAGTCCATCTCATCTGTTTTTTCTTTTGCTGCTTGTGCTTTTGGGGTTGTAGCTAAGAAACAGTTTATCATCCAAGGCTACAAAGATTTACTGTGGTATCTTCTAGAAGTTTTATAGTTTTAGCTCTTAGATTCAGGTCTGTGATCCATTTTTATTTTGTATTTTGTATATGGGGTGTGATATGGGTCCACATTCTTTTGCATGTGAATATTAAGTTGTCCCAGTACCATTGATTGAAAAGTCAGTTCTTTCTCGATTGAATTGAAAAAGTAATGCTTAAAAAGCTTTGATGCTTAAAGTAGTAACATGGTAGAGGAAAGGAGTATTGTAGAAAAGAAGGTAAGCTTTAGTTTTGGGAAAAAGAATCCCTAGAACCGTCAGGTAAGTTAGGTATAACTTTGATTTGTCTTTTTTAGATGTTTTTTAGATAATATAGATCCTGGCTTATTTTTTAAATTGTCTTAATTGTAGCATTTGGGCTGAGCGAAGATTTGTTTCTGTATATTAATTATATCATTCAAAAATAAATAGTATGGTGATGTCAGCGAAAATGGTAGAGTAGGTAGTGTCACATGCCCTTCCTTCCACAGAAACATTGAAAAATCAAGCAGAAACTGTCAGAACTAACTTCAGCAGAACTCTGAAAAATAGTCAGAGATTTACACCACTGGATGATTGTCGAATCCAGGAAAAGGCAACCTAAAAATACTAGGAAAGCACTTTGGTGTTTTCACTTGCCCTTGCCTCACCTTGTCCCCATCATGGTACCTGTCTTGAAGACGGCAGCCCTCATTTGAAATTTCGGACTCCAGAGCCTGGCTCTGAAGGCGGTAGAGCAGGACTTACTTTTAAATAATTGTGTTTGTCTGTCTAACTTATCTGGGGCTACTTGTAGGACTGACTCAAGATACTCATCTTTCTTTCGCCTAACTTGGAACTCAGGGCAGAAAAGCCAAAAAGCAGCAGGCATTTCTTGAGCATACATAAGGCTAAGGAACAGTTGCAGAAGCCTGGGGCAAAAGGATACAGTTGAGATATACAAGAGAGTGTCAAATGCATGACAGAAAATCTTGGGGAATTTCTGTGGAAAACTAGGGCATTCAAAAGTGCCCATGTTTAGTGGAGAATTTTGAAAGCCACATCTAAGGCCAGTGCAAGCTCAGAAAAGTCTTAAGAAGAACTTTTGCCTGTGGCCAGTCTCTAGGCTCAGCACAAGCAGAAGTGAAGGCTGAGGTAGAGCTGTAGACACCTGACTAGGTGGTGGAGTCTCCAGCACAGAGCCAGTCTGCAAAGACTGGGAGAGGTGGTTCTCCCTCCCTCTCTGCTGCCCTTTTTTCTTTTCTTTCTTTTCATATGCAAGGAAATCCCTTTCAAACACTGGCTCAACACAGGCTACAGTAAGGAAGACTTCAAAGACCATATGTGACAAAGAACACACACTTAACACAAATAGTTTAGCAAAGTCACTAAATACACATGGCTGTAGCATACACCAAGTAACAAAACCATCCCAGGAGATGGGGGCATATCTGATTTCCCGAGTTATCAGATTATAATACTCCGAATGACTAGTTTTTCAAGAAAAATTACAAAGCATGCAAAGAAACAAAGTGTGGTCCATTCACAGAAGAAATTTGTGAAAAGTATCTCTGAGGAAGCCCAGACGTTGGACTTACTAGACAAACATTAAATCACCTGCCTTAAGTATGCTCAAGGAGCTAAAGGAAACAATGAACAAATTGCTAAAAGATATCAGGAGAATGATGTGTTAAGAAATAGAGAATATCAATAAAGGTATAGAAATTATTTTTTAAACAGCAAAAAATAATTCTGGAGCTGGAAAATACAATAAAGGAAAAGAAAAACTTACTAGAGAGTTTCAACAGCAGATTTGAGCAGGCAGAAGAAAGAATCAGTCAACTTGAACCCTAGGTCACTTGAAATTATTCAGTCTGAGAAACAGAAAGAAGAATGAAGAAAAATAAATAGATCCTAAAGAGTTGTGGGATAGCATCAAGTAAACTTATGTACACATAATGGGAATCTTAGAAGGAGAAGAGAAAGAGCAGAGAGAATATTGGAAGGAATAATGGCCATCAACTTCCAAAATTCGATAAAAGACATGAATCTGCACATTCAGGAAATTCAGTGAACTAGCAGTACAGATACAAAGAGATGCACATAATCAAACTGTCGAAATCCAAGGACCAAGAAAGCATTCTGAAAGCAGCAGGAGAGAAGCGACTCATCATATACAAGGGATCTTCAGTAAGATGATGAGAAATCCGTTGATCAGAAACCTTGGAAGTCAGAAGGAAGTGGAGTGACGTTTTTAAAATAGTGAGTGAAAAACCTGTCAACCTAGAATTCTGTGTCCAAAAAACTATCATTCAAAAATGAAAGAGAAGTTAATATATTCCCAGATAAATTTAGAATTGAAAACAGGGACTCAAGCAACTACACATACACTCATGTTCACTGCAGCACTGTGTACAGTTACCAGAAGGTGATAACAACCCACTGTCGATCAGCGGATGAATGGGCAAACAAGTTATGGTGTATTCATACATTGGAATATTACTCAACTGTAAAAATTAGTGAAATAGTGATGTATGATACAACATGGGTGAATCCTGAAAATATTCTGCTCTGTGGAAGTAGTCAGACACAAAAGGCCATATAGTTTATGATTTCGTGTTTATGAAACACGCAGAATAAGTTGGTAGAGACAGAGCGCAGATTGTGGTTGCCGTGGTCTAGGGAAGCAGGGAATGGGGAGCAGCTGCTTCGTGCATGGGAGGTTCCTCTTGTGGTGGTGCGATGTTTTGGAACTTGATAGAATTGGTTG